GATCCTGGTGTATACATGCTTCGACGTCTTCCCGGGGAAGCGGGGAAAAAGGTACACACCACACCACCCCGACGTCGTCCCCGACCCTCAAAAATTCTGGGATTGAAAAACAGCCCGTTACTGGTAATGTGTATGCTCCGATTTCCGACCTGTCGCACAACTGCGCTATGACAACAGTGAAAATCCCTCCTACCTACCCCGGACGCCTCTTATCCTCTTGGTGCTCCTGCGGTCAGGAACTTTTGCTCAGCGTGTCGCGCGCGGCGGCCATGGCGACACGCTATGCCGTGCAAGCGGATGGCGTGTCGCTCCGCTCCGCGGTGCGAGAGGCTCGGGAAAGCTCGGGGCGCTGGAACTTGGGGACCGAGAAGCGGATACGGTGTCGCGCCGAAGCGTGGGGGGCCGGGGACCGGCGGAGCGGCACGCTCAGCCAAAATTCCTGACCGCAGTTCCCCCCTTCTCAGGGTCCCGACGCACAAATTTTCTGAGCTGCGCCCAGCCGTGGCCAACGAGGGCCCCCCCCGAGGCCAACTACAGTCGGGCTGCTGAAATAAGGAACGCTAAATGAAGAACGAAGCCCCTCCGAAACTTCAAAAAAACCTGGGTGCACGAGAAGGGCTGGAGGAACAACCACAGAAGGACGTAAGGAACATCGAGCCCCTTCCGAATCCAAACTGTTCCTTATTTCAGCGTCTTGGCTGTACTGTTGTCTCAGCTCGCCCTCCTCTGATCTGAAGCTGCGGGGGGGAGGCCCCCCCGCTGACCGCCTCTCAGTAGCCTGTCGCAAAGGGGCCCAGGATGTCACACTATGTCTACGCATTCCCCACGCAGTGCTTGCCCGTAGGGGTTCTCCCTGCTTTTCGAAGGAAGTGGGCCTGTCTGTCGGTCTGGCGGCTATGTTGTGGCCGTCGCCGCCCCGTCGCCGCCAGTAACTGGGCCTGTTGGGCTGTCGGTTTGGCGGCTATGTTGTGGGTTGTGGTTCTCGCCGCCCCATCACCGCCCGTCGTTTGGGCATGTGTGTCCGTATGGCGGCTATGTTGTCGCCGTCGCCGCCCAGTCGCCGCGTCGTCGCCGCAGTGGATTCTCTTTTCTCAAAACACATTAGGATGGACCCTCCCGTTCCCGAACTTAACGGCCCCTTTATGTATTGCGTTTGACGCGATCCCCCCTTCATCCCCTGCAAATGCCAAAACATGCGCGCGCATTCACTTATCAAAGGTAAGAAATTGTCAATAACCCCTTGAAGAAAACATGACGAAGTGCACACGCGCGCGTTGTCGCACGCGCATGCCGCAATCCGTCAAAATCGAACGTTTTGGAAACATATGAAAACACATGGTTTCGCAACACGTTCTATTTGTTTTTAATGTGCACTCGCGCTCTGTCGAATTATTAAAGAAAAGCAACCGGTTGCCAGCGACTTCATAAGTTGCTAATCGTTCGACCGCCCTTGCGCGCGTGCTGTCGCAAGAATCCCTTGCAAGAGGACGGGACGAAGTGCACGCGCGCGGGTAGTCGCGCGCGCATGCCAAAATCCTTCAAGTATCATTGGCTTTGTAAGGACTTCAAGATCGAGTGTCCCGAACACATAGAAACAACACACTTTGTTTTGCAACGTCAGTTTAAACATGCGCTCTTGCTGTTGCGATTGCCCAAAACAATAAATTCCTTCACGATGCTCATTAAATTCTGCCAAACGGGGCGTTCGGGCCGCATGCCGATATCATTCGAACGCCCTTGCGCGCGTGCTGGGGACACGTTCCGAATCAAATAACACCATGCGGGCCACTTTCGCGCGTCGGCCGCGCGCTCATGCCGTACCCCCTACAAAAACTGCATCGCCGACGCGAGGGCGCCGTCATCATCGTCGGTGTCATCAGCATCGGCGCCGTCACTGGCCGCGCCGTCGTCGTTGCCATAATCGCCACCAGCATTTCTACCATCATCATCGCGTCTACCGTTGTCGACGTTGCCATGGTACCGCGCCCGCCAAAGTCGCCGATACGCACTGAAGTGCCCTTTGGAAGTGCCCGGCAGTCAGCGCCGCCGAGGCCGCGTCGGTAGCGCCAAACTATCTGGCCGCTGCGCGCGCGAGCATGCGCGGCCGCAGCGATGCACCAGCCAACTCCAAGCACTCATCGCGATCGTCGCCGCATGAGTTTTGCAAACCGCGGGCGGGCGGGTGGGATGATTGCGCGCGCAGGCGAGTGGACTGCGAGCAAAATCCCACCAGCCCTCTGGGCGTCGGTGGTTTAGGGCGTTTCCTCTTCCACCCCTCCCTCTTCCCCTTCGGGGAGGGGTTTACCCCTCCCCATGCCCCTCCCCACTGACCTGGACAGGAGGGGCGGGGAGCGGTCAGAGCGTCCAAAACGGCCTCGGCGAGGAAGCCAAAATCATTGACTTTACTATGGTTTTGGCCCCATTTTGGCCTTCTGAGGGGGCAGGGCTAATTAAAGCCCCCCTCTTCTTTGATCGATTTCCTCCACGATGGCCGCAAGAGGCCCCCAGGATGCCCCAAGAGGCCGCAGGATGGCCCCAAGATGGCCCCAAGAGGCCCCCAAGAGGCCCTCAGGAGGCCCCCAAGAGACCCCCAAGAGGCCCCAAGAGACCCCCCAGAGGCACCCAAAGTGCTCCCAGAGGCTTTTTTACTATGGTTTGGGCCCCATTTTGGCCTTCTGAGGGGGCAAAGATGGCCCCAAGAAGCGCCCAGGAAGCCCCCAAAGGCCCCAAGGTGGCCCCAAGAGGCCCCAAGAAGCCCCCAGGAGGCCCCAAAGAAGATCCCGAACGGCCCACAGAGGCCCCCCCGAGGCACCCAAGACGCCGAAAAGCCCCTCAGGACGACCCTCTACTCGCCTGGGCGTCGTTTCTGGACGGGCTGGTGGGGATACTTTTTTTTTACAGCCGCAGGCGGAAGCGCCGGCGGCGGCGGGTCACGGTCGGGCTGCGGCCGTAACAAATCAGCCGGGCGCGCGCGGGGGCCGCGGATCAGGCGGCGGTGCAAACCGCAGCCCAGGGAGTCTGAAGGGAAACAGCCACCCAGGAAGCAGGGGGGACGCTGCCAAAATGGCGCGACGCACACCCCCAGTCAAGGATCGCATCGGTCTGGCGATCACAAGGCAGTGGGGATCAGACTCCGTGCCAGAAGAGTGTCAGAGAGCCCAGGGTGTCTGTCGGGTATGAGCGAGACTGTAGGCAAGGGAGCTGACGTCGTCCAGCAGGGGGAAGGGACTCTGACAGCGCCAGCGAACCGTCGCAGCTTCAGAGTACGCATCCACGCGGCTGAAAGAGCATGCCCGAAGTCATTGACAACCGGAGTCAACCCTCAAACCAACTGCGGAAGAATGCGTTCGCACGCGAAAGATCAACGACATGATGCGACGCAGTGCAAAGGTACACCTGCTCCCGACCTTGGCGAGAGACACGACGGCCAACCGAACGACAGGGCGTGCACCAGGAAGCAACTAAGTGACATAACAAAGAGCAGCTATCCAGGAGACTCTGATGGACCAGAAAGAG